TTTGCAAAGATACCATCTGCCCATCGTTAGACTCAAATGCACAGATGGAATCCATCACTTGGCTCTGAAATCCATCACTGCTTCAGCTGCATGAGCAAAAAGCAAACACTCAACCTTCCACCTATAATAGTGTACCCCCATTTTCCTCCTTTCTTTTGTTCTAAATTAACAAAGGAACCTAAGTTCCTGTTTACTGAGGAAGGAAGATCCATGCAATAGAAATGCTCATTCACATCTACTAGAAATGTTGATTTTATGCTTGTAACAACTGAATCATTGAAACTGAAACATCTTACAAGCAGAATAATGACTAAGTAAAAGAGGGTTGTTCTTTCACTTGTACCCTCATTGAAATACCATGGGTCTCATTGTATATTGCTATGATGCAGGTAAGGGCACAAAATGAGGTGCTTACATTTAAGCCTTTTACTCAGGATTTTACCTAAAAATGTAAATATTTACACTTCACATTCTCCCATATTTGGGCAAAATGCGGTTACAATTGCCTCTTTCAACAACAGAATAATTAAGCCTTCCAGTGTATGAATTGTGGGGGAAAATATTTCTCTTACTTCTGAAGCTCACCTACATTTGGGACTTAAAGTGTTCCAATAGCTTTTTTAGATAGAATAATTCTATGGCTACTAACACTGGAAGCACAATGGAAGACAAAATGGACACATGTAAAATAAAAAATTTTACCGTGGTTTGCATCTCATACACAGTCCACCCAAAATATTTGAAGGATATTAAAAGAGACACACTTGTGATGCCAGCATTTTTAGAAGGTCTAAAGGCAGAGCATGCAAAATGGATTGCTTTTGGACATAAGGTCCCTAAATCTGTATTTAGACACCTAAGTCAAGGAGTTAGTGCACAGACTCTGCAGACTCCTTTTAAGGCCACATTTTCTATCACTTTAATTTTAGCCTAAATATAAATATAAAATTTTGTAGTCCTGGTGTTTGAGAACTCATCACCCGGCAGTGTCACCTTCTGCACAATCTTCTTCTAGGGGTGGCCAATCAGTCCAGAGAAGAAGCAGAATCACGTCAAAAGCCCTGGTCCATCCCCTTCCTTCAGGCATGTGCAGACCAGAAAGCAGCCCCAGCAACACAAAAACACAGGGAAAACACTCTGGAGGAATCTGTTTTTCCCTCTGCGGAGCACAGCAACTTTCCTAAACAGCCTAGAGAAAAGGCAGAAGTGCAGCCAACAGATCAACTTTGCGCACTGAGCTGATCCCCTCACTGCAGGGAAGAGCTGTCTCTGGGATAAAATAAGAATGTTATCTTCCATCAGCTCTAGCATGCATTGCCAAAAAAGGCACAAAAAGCATATTGCAATGGTCTTAACAACTGACAAATAGTTTCATATATTATCTCTGAATTTATCTGTCTAAAAAGAACTGTGAAATCTTCGTGAACATTGATGAAGGGGAGGTGGGGTGGTGTGGGCAGAGCATGCACAAGGTGGTTTGTATACAAGACTACAGCAGAACTTATTTATGTGAGCACTTTAAGCCCACTTGGGTGTTGAGTCATACCTTCAGATACAACACACACAAGGTTGTGCTTTTCTCACTTCACTTCTCTGAGCAGGTACACAGGAATCTGTGATCAGCAATGCCAGTCTCATGCTCTCAAGACCATGGGGTAAACACTGTATTATGCTCAACCCACTGCTCATTGAAACCAGGCAGCAAATCATGAACAGTGCAGGTGAACTTCTGCCTGCATTCACCAAGGCTTGAAAACATGCAGGTCACATTCTCCTACTCTTACACCTGGAATACAAGAAGCACACAGCAAATAACACAGCAAAGAGCAGCACCAACATACTTGCTGCCTGCACAGGAAATAAAGTGGGGCTTAGAATGAGGGACAAAAGGAATACACGCTCCACTCATCCACAAGACTGGCTTTCTCACCACAATGTTCACTCCCTTGGGACCAGACAGATTTATGATCAGTGGCAAGTTCTTGGACTGCATGTGGATGTTTATCTATGTAGATCAATGTGTGAACATATCATCCAGAAACAGTCCCTTCAGCCCACATTCCCACAGGCTGGAGGCCAGGTCACAGCTTTAATCTCCCTTCTTCTCCAATAGCTCATTAATGAGAACTCTTCCCTGGCCATTTGGGAGTGCAGGAGTTTTTTGAAGTTAACAGAGCTCATTGCCAGCAGCATGTGAACACCAAGAAGTGTGTAAAACAATTGGTTTACAGCGTTCTTAAATGTCAGACTACAGGAAGGCCAGTCATTTAGCATTTTTAAATGCTATCAAGATTTTTGGACAGGAATTGAAGACTCCTGATAAAATTTCAGTGTTTTCCCTAGGACCCACTTCCTATCTGTTCCCATAAGCAAAGCAATTGCATTTCCCACATTTGTTATTACATTCCTTCTGTTCATATAAATTTTGCTGTGTGCTCAAGAAACTTTTATTTGGTGCCAAAGCACTGAGTGCATCCCAAAGCACAGACTCACACCAAACAGCACTAACACCCATAACACAGATCTGTGCATTGCTTGCAAAGCACTTCATTTTTCTCTCTCACACACACACATCAGAAGGTCGTTTTTGAGAAGATGAAAGTTTCCCTTGGAGCACTGCATTCACAATATGGGATGGGATGTTTCTGGCATGAGCTCTCCTGATGCTGACTTGACATCTTCCTTGTTATGACTGCAAATTCCTATCACTGTAAACCTAACTAATGACTCATGAGAGAAAAAGCAAACAAAAAAAGCAAAAAGAAAGGGAGAATGAAACCCTTTCAATTGCAGTGTCTGTAGACACAGCGACACACAAAATGTCTCAAATTTAAAAGAAAAGCAGTATCCACTGGAGAAATAAAAAATGAGTGAGTTTTTCATTCGTAACTGCAAGTATTTGGGGACAATGAACAGACAGAAAATTGTATGTAATCAAAGAAACTGCCTTTTTAAAAATAACCTTATTCTGCATTGTTTTGGGAAGCACTGTTGAACATGACATCATGCACATACAGCTATGGACAAAAACAGCCATATTTTCAGTGAACTAAGGAAAACAAAGGGATTAATTCTCTACAGATATAGCCAAATTATGAGGCTATCACAAGTATTTACAGATGCACTTTAATTATCTCCTTCCTAAGAGTGTTAAAAAAGGACATTTGTCACTTATCTCAAATGAAAATATCCCCTCCTGTCTCTTATACTTACAAATAGGACTGCCCCACTGCTTCTGATAGATGAATCTTGGTGTACTTCTAACCATGGCATTTATTCCAGGAAAACCATTATAAGTGTTATCCCCAAAATATCTATCAAATAGGAACAGAAGCTTTACTCTCTATATAAAATATTTATTTAAATGTCACAGAACACTCTTTTCTATGTCAGTATTAAACACATGACTATTTGAATAATCACAAAATTTCCCAGGCAGAGCTTCAGCCTATAGCACAAACCACTATTTTATTATGGTATTTACCTTAAACCCCTATCTAAGGCAAGCAGCACACATACTATTTCTACCCTGACATGCTAATTATGCCCTGGGCTCTGAGTGTAGTTTCCTAGCTGTGCTGAGCTCAAATCCCCAGCATATTCCCCTTACACAGGCAATTTTGGTCCCACTGAGCCGTATGTCCCAGTGTACAGCGCTGTGAGGACAGGAAGCACCAGCCCTGCCTTCTCACAGCATGGCACAGGTGCTGTAGCCCCCATGGACCTGGAATAAGAACCTAGTTTAAACTCTTTTTAAACTGAATTTTATCTGCTCTCAAACAAGTCTCTCTATAAGAGAAGCAGCTGGAGTTTGCCTCCCTACTGCTTCCACCCAGCATTCTGCCAAGGCAGGACCAGGGAGAGAAGACAGGATGGATGACTTGGCAAACTCAAGTCACTGGAAATAAGTAATTGTGATGCAAGGAAACCAGCACACATGTGCAGCAGGTAATAGTCTTTTCAAAACCTGAAAAAAGTTACATCTGATCATCATTTCAAAGCACTGCAGATGGCAGCATCACTTCTGTGATCTTCTGGCAGCAAGATAAATCAATACCACTCAGTGTGGAAATGTCAGCAGAAATGCTCAAAATCTTAATATTTTAACAATTCCAAGTTCTGAGGGACTCTTATTTGAAAATATTTGCTGCAACAGCCTTTGAATTTTAAAAAACATATAAATCCAATTGTATTTTTAAAACACATAGCAAGCTCAAAGACAGTGGTTAGTTTTTAATTTTTTCCATTTTTTTAATGTTAAACTCAGTTCCTTTGTGGCATTTTAACCCAACTGCAGGGCCACTGAAGGGCACTGCAACAATAAATACATATTTAATTGATTTTTATTGTTCAATCTAAAGGAAATTCTTTTGTATGTAAAAACAACAGCATTATAAACTGCAACTGAAGAGATGTTTTGAAATTAGTTTAAATAGTATCATTAAGACATGCTTTACTGATGTGCTCTTAAGGCAGACATAAAATGAAGCTGTATCTTCAAATTCTCTCTACAGCACCAAACGTTACTAAAAAAGCAAAAGCAATTTCCATAATTTCCCTATGTTCCCTAAAAATGTTTTGAATTTAGCAGAACATTAATTTGGAGGAGATAAGGCAAGACAGACCACACAGTCTGGTCCAAAGGGAAAAAAAAGCCACAAAACTTAAGAGACCACAAGAGTCCTTTCAGCAGAACTAAAAACAGTCTAGACTAGATAACACCACCAAAACCAGGATCACCAGATCTTCAGAAGGACACTCAGAAATTGAGACTGTCAAAAGGAGGATGGTGTGCAGACAATAAAAAGCAATTTTTCCAGCATGAAGTTTCCTTTATCCAGTTGTCACGGAGTATGTAAAATACACTACTTCTGTGTTCATAATCACGCGTTTCCCCTCCTTCAGAAATGTCCTCAGGCAGCCCCTTCTTTTTAAAAATCAAGAACTAGACATGACTTTTTAAGTTTTCAGAAGTCCTATAAAATATTACAAATAATCAATTTGTGTTTCTTTTGCTTTTAATATTCCTGCATGCTTACAAATGCTCCTGTAAAGCTAATTGGACACCACGACATTGGTTAAAGAAAATGCTTGAAATTAATCTAACAGACCACTGCAACAGAAACTTAAAACTATACACCCTTTCCATAAATAATACAGAACTTTATTGCTCTCCTTTAAACCAAATCACTTCAGACATGGTTTGCTGGAAAAAATTCACCTTTTCAACTTCAGTATGGATCAGGATTTTTTCTTTTGTCTTCTCATAATCCCTGATGGCAGAGGGAGGTGAAATTTGTGCAAGAGTTGGTCAGAAACCTAAAACTCCCTTTAGTTATATTGTTACCCCAAGAAACCTCACCTAGCCCACTGAAGTTTAATCCTGAATTGGCAATACCTAGTTGGTGACAAGGGCAATTCTTCTTTTGACACAGAGTACATACTTTGAGAGCCTGTTAAAATTCACTTTTTCAGCATGAAAGTACTCAAAAGCTGAAGTTTGTTCCTCTATTGCCCCTCCAAAAAGATGTCTCAGCTGTACTGAAGGGAAAAGGAAACGTTAGGCTGTGGATTTAAGAAGCTGTCAAGAAACACAAACATAAAGTTGACTTAATAGCATTATTAGGAAATTGTTCTGGGCCCACCCTTAGCAGCAACATGAGGGTTAACTCAAGTTGTAGCAATATTTAAAACAGCTCTGCAATTTTCCTTCTCCACCCAACCAAACAACAGAAAATCTTGTCAATAAATGAAAAACACCACACGTATTTAAGTGAGAGAAACCATCTAAACTTTCAACATTTTTCATCCTCATTTTTTTTTAATCCAAAAGATTTGTACAGCATTTTTAAAAAATAACTTACAGGATCAAAAGGAAAATAAATGCATAGCTTTAAATCCTCAGAATACAACCTCCCCCTATTGCGGAAGAGTTCAGTCATAAAGTGCTGTAGATATGACCACACATCAGACAGATAATCTAGTAACTAACTTATTTTTCTGATTTATTTAACAATATTCCAGGTTTAGAACATTAAATAAAAAATCTCACAGACAATGGGTAAGACTAACAATGGTTTTGCTCTTTTTCTTCTCGTTTTTTTCAAAGAATGCTGAGACACATCAATTGAACCACCTACAATTTTATTTTGGATACCAAAAAATAAAAAGAAGCTGGAAGGAAGAGAGCAGTGCATTGCACTGATCTCAGTAAAATTTCTTGTAAGCGTCACTGGTTCTTTTCAGCCCTAGGAGGATGAAGAAGGATACAATGCTGCCAACAGGGGAAGGCCAAGTCCAGACTAAGGGTGCTCTGGGCTTTGCCTTGATTGTGAGGGCACAGCTTTAAATTATGCTCATGTAAGACAAGATCCACACACTTCACACCAGCATTTGTGCAGGTCCTGGAGGGAGGGCTTGCAGTGGTGGTAGCAGCTCCTGCAAGTGATGGCCACAAAAACCAAGAGCTCTTCCTGGCAGACTGCTGGGGTGCCACAGGAGCTCAGGTATCTCACTCCCTTCCATAATTTGATTTTGTTGCCCTCACAGATAGCAGACTTACTTGTGGAATTTTAGGCCAAGCCTGCATTTTGTGCCTTGGGCAAACATATACACCTCTTCAGTGGACATGGAGAGTAGCAACATTCAACAGGATGCACAGTGCATGTACTTTGTACAAGTGCAAATCAGTTTTCAGGGGGCTGGAAAGTGAAACCCCAGGCTTACTAACAGCCAAACACAGGCTGCACCACTTGCTAACTGCATTTTTCCCAGGCTTAAACATTTTTCTTTATGTAGTTGTAAGTACTTACTCCACTGTTCCTTCAGCCTAACCTCTGTCCTTTCTCCTCACTCACCCATCCCTTCCCACCACCTACAAAGAACACAGAGGCCTCAAACTTCCAAAAATTATTAAACCAAACCATAAACAAACCATTTGGCAATAGATTCAATTCCATCACCATTCCCATTTTTGTATGTTCCTGCTGTCTGTGCTCTTTTTAAAACCCAATGTCCACAGGTGTCATTGTGATGAAAAAACCCCAACTTTCTTCCTCCAGAACAGTAACACACAGATATTGCTCAACATAGTTGTAGACTAACAGTGAGGTGGGGGAGTGAAACACCAGTAACAGAAATAAAACCCCAAGCAAACCTTGATTGTAACTGGAAAATGCCAACAGTTCTCCACTGCAGCTCAGAAAAAGAACCTGGTGCATCCTATTTTGTGTCTAGGGTGAACTCTGATCCTGTTTATGACCTGCAGTATTTCATAAGACATTGGGGGCGGGGTGGGGGTGTCAGGTTGGTTTCCTTTCTTTTTTCTTGTTTGTCAAGTTCTCAAAGGGGCTTAAAACACTTATGCTGAGAGACACAAAGGGAGTAGTTACAATACACAACTAATCGGAAACAGTACTCAAACATTACACAGGACAGGACTGAAGTCCACTCTACAAACTGAATTAAAAAGAGACAGGTGAAAAAAGATTGTAAGTGCTAACATAACAAAAAAAATTTAAAGATTCACTAAATACATGTGAGGAAATTCAGGGGTCCCCTTCTTTTAAATATATTTACATAATATTAAAGCTTTTTATTTTGCTTTTCTTGCCAACAAAATTTTCAACCTACCCTGGGCAAAGTCCCCGTTAAGTGAAGAGGTTATGGAGTTTATAACACAGACAAACCAGTAGACCAGTAGCCTGCAGACGTCTCCCTGCCCTCTCCCCATCCCTCCCTTACCAAAGGCCTGATGCCTTGCCTGCTACACACTATGCCGTGGCATCAGCCATGGCATCAGCACAAGGTGAAGGTAACACAGCACTGCCTCGACCCCACACTTGGTTCCCACTTTGCAAAAACACAAGAGACTACAATCAGGTCTTGCTTAGACACAAAGCAAAACAAACAAAAAAACAATTTTGCCATTTAGCTGCAGTTAAATGGTAAAACTGGACTAATGTGGACACAGCAATACCAGTTTAAGTGTTCATACCATTTACACTGCACTGGAAAGGAAAATAAATTATCGTGGTATAAATGCATCCACACTACAGCCTATGCCAGCACAGTATCAGTTAAAATAATAACACATCAGTCCCCTAACCAACATAATTGTACCAGCTGTACTTTACTAGCATAGACCAGACCTAAGACATGAGGTAGTGAAAATTAGGCTCAAGATCTTTTTTCATTCCATAGCAACAATATATTCTAAAAATATTAACTGCTCAGATCTATGGATTTTAAAAACATTTTAAAATCCAAAATTTAAAGCTAGCATCCTGAGTCACACAGGATTTACAAATGGAGGCATACATTTAAAAAAACTTCCTCAAGGTCCTAACTCAGGAAAATAATTTTATGATAGAAAGCACATAAGCATGTGTTTGTCTCCCACTGAAACAAGTGGAAAGGAAGCACATAGATAAGTGCTTTCTGAAATCTGGGCCACAGTCAAAAATCACGATCTTTGTAGAATTTATTTCCTCATTCATTTCAGTGCTGTTTGATCACAAGTCATTCATGTTTTAAGACAGTGGGAAAAACACAGACAATGGAAGCTAAATCAAGTTTGTTACAACTGTTCAATATTTACAGCATTCATAGCATACAACAGAAGAATTTTTGGTAACTTAAGACAAATACCTCTTTTCTTTGTCATTAAATGTACCGCAGCAGTCCTGTTAAACAAACCCACTGTCTCGAATATTAAAGAAACTGTTGTTTATGTTTACCGAGTCATTTAAATTAAAAATCTGTTCCTGTTCCAAACCCCACTCTCCTTCATCTTCGTCCTCCGGTTCTGCCTCAGACCCATTACGACTGTTTTCATACAAAAAGATCTGCTCATCCACATGAGCTGGGGCTAACCGGTTTCTCTTTGCACTCACAACATTAGCAGAAGAACCAAAAAGGCGTTCAGGGAAGACCCTTGTGGCCAGGATACACCAGTATTTTTGAAGAACCTTTGGTAAAACTGGAAAGAGTGCTAATCTGTCAGACCACCACTTCAATGGGTCTTCATTCAAACCCAGGACCTTTTGTGACTTGAAGTTGCTCAACTCCTCAACGATTTGAGCATGCCATTCCTCCTGGTCTTCCACGCCTCCTGTCTGGCAAAAGATCTCTGCAAGCATGTTGTTGATGACACTGGTAGGAGGAGGAGTAGAGGAGATTATGATTTTTTTCATAGGGGGCTCTTCTGAAACAGAGAAGAATTTCTCCTCAGTTCTAAAACTATTTTCTTTTACTTTCTCTAGCAGGCTTTTTGCTTCTTCCACCACTCTGTTTTCCACCTGCTGCCTCTCAAAGGCTGAAAGAAAAGGCAGTTTCTTGTAGCGGGGATCTAAGAAAGTTGCAACATTGAGAAACATGTCTATCTCAGGTGTGTGCTGGTAGGTGGTTGACAACTCTTTAGCAATCACCTCCTTTGCCATGCTGATTTCTTTCAAATCGTTCTCTTTGATGTTCAGAGTGGTATTCAGAAGCATGTGGAGAAGTGGCTTTACCATACTTATCGTCGGGTACTTTGAAGCAGACATCATCTCTGCAACCTGCTTGAAAGGCTGGAGCAGCTCCACCAGCCCTTCGATTGTATTCCACTCACTGGATTCCAGCATGAGGTGGTGGTTGTTGCTGTCCTCCACGAGAACAGCCGCAATGACAAACTGCTGCTCCTTGAGGCGCTGCAGCATAGCGAGCGTGCTTCCCCACCAGGAAACACGGTCGCTTACCAGCATGCAGTGGAGAATATTCTGCTGCTTCTGCTTTTCGCTCAGCATGTACATTGCGACTGTAGACTGCTGAAAATACTCCACCAACTTTCGACACCTGGCAAGAAGGTTGCAGAGTTTGGGGAGCTGAAAAGCTTGTTGTATTCCTGCATTAAAAGTGTGCCCCAAACAAGGCATCTGTACGGGAATATCTAAGAGAGAGCAAGCTTTTACAATGTCTTTACTGTAATCTGTTGTAGCACCAAAGACTTTTGTATTGATCCCCCACTCAATGAATGTTTCATAAAGGACTCGTGTAATGGTCTCTGCAGTGTTATCCTCCGGTACTTCGAACGTTTTCAAACAGCGCGAGTTCACAGCCAGGCAGTTAGCAGGACTGCTGCTGAGAAAGTGAACTGCCACAGTTACATACGACCTGTTCTGGTTTTCGCTCCTCCACATGTCTGTGGATATGCCACACCAGAGAACCTCAGTGAGCTCTTTCAGCACAATTTCTCTAATAGCACTGTACTTTTCAGGAATTGCTTTTGTACAGAAGTACTTCCGGCTCGGAAGTTCATACCTGGGGTCTGCCGTTCGCAAGAGGGCCTTGAAGGTAGGTTCATCCACGATGGAGGCTGGATACATGCCCTCGCAAATTAAGCTGATGACTGCAGATGTCAGTTCCTGATGTTTTTTGTTTTCGTAGTTCTGGTAGGTCTTCATGATGAGGCTATCTTGAACAACCTGCTGCGATGACTCCGGCTTGATTTTTGAAAATGCTGTGGCAAAGGCTTCCCTCATTTGCTCAGTGTTGCTTTTCACAAACTCACAGAATTCATCAGGGTGATTTTTCTCAAGGTGGTAGGAAAGGTTGGATGTGTTTCCTGAATAGGCAATCTGTGCCATGCAAATACGGCAGTAGATCTTCTTCCACTGTAATATGCATCCTTCTGCATTGGTATCAAACCCAAAGTACTTCCACACTTTACTCTTTGCTCTCGGGTGAGCCACTAACTTTAGGTCTGATGGGGAACCTTCTAAACTTTTATTCTCCATTGCTTCTTGGCCACCGTCCCACCTTTTGATCCTTCACTCATTAATGAGTACCTGATAAAGGCAGTAAGATAAAGATACAATGAGAAAGCACAAGTTTGACCACACTCAACTATGTGAAATCAGCGTTTCTGTATCAAGAAACCTACTCACTAATTACATTTGCAAAATTAAAGATGAAATTTGCAGCAAGTGTGACCTATAAGAAGCCCACTGGATTGTCAAAAATTAAAAGGGGTTTTAATACATCCCATTTTTCTGTGAAACTGAGCTAGAACACCAGAGTAAATATTTTTTTTCTGGAATTTCATAATTCTGGGTAGAGAAAGCATAAGTACCACCACAGACTTGATAAATTACTGTCACAAGAACTGGTCATCTGCTATAGCATTTTCCTGCCTCTTAAGTTAGAGCTAGACTAACATCCTCTTGCCAAAGAATTACTGAACTGTTTTTGCTGTTAACATTTATTTCAACTGAAACCTGATAGTGAAGGAGCAAAGGTTTTCTTGTTTATTTTAAAAGAAGTTTTGCAAGCCTGATCTAACAGTTCCAGCTTTCACTTTAAAAATATCATAAAAAAATCTATGATGCAAATTATGGCAATAATCTGTTCCTCTCAAATGTAAAGATGTTTTCTGACTGAAATAAAAGGAAAAGGAGGTTGAACCTACATGCAGATCAACAATACATGTCTGACACCTTTCCTGTCCTTCTCTTTCTGAAATCAAAGTCATCTCCTGAAGTACTAGCTCACATTTGTGGTTCCTGGAACACTAGTACATTATAATCACAGGAAAAGCAGACAGGGAAGCACTAATAATTGTTATTATCCACATCAGCTGGAAAATAATTTTGCAGCACTTTCTTCAAAAGGCTACAGAAGCTGGGAGGGGATGACACTAGAGATGAGTATGGTGATAAGGCAAGACTTGGCAATCTATACCTTGATATCTGCACAGGAAAACACTTCTTGTGCAGTCACATGCAAGTGCTACTTGAGGCCTACAATGCCTCTGTAAACAGTGCTGGCAGCTGGCAGCCACCAAAGCTGATCTCACTACACCAAAAAGCCAAGTCACAGCACAACACGATTGCACTGACACTTCTCTATTTCTTCCACTCCACTGTGACAGCAACAAGCCATTTTCCAGGGCCTTGGCCAGCACTGAGAAGGCAGGCATTAGTTAGACAAGGATGCAGCTTCCTTCACAAAAATCCAGAGCAAGAGAACAGGAGAGGAACATAAGGAGTGTCAGACTGAAAACAACAGCACTGCTACTTCTCTGCTGCTCAGGAGCTGCACCTGTGCCCAAGCCAAGAAATCCTCAGGTGGTAAGACTGGCTGGTTAGGGCAGGAAGGAACAATCTGACTTTTTCATATTGCTGCAAGGGAATATTAAAAAGAAAAAAATAAATAAAAGCATGTGTGCAAGCTTCTCTGGTGTGCTTTCTACTGTGGAGAACATTCACAAGAAAAGACAAGTTTTCTCTCTAAACTGCAGCTGGTATTTTGCAACATTTTCTGAATGCCCCGAATGGAAAACCAAAGACAGGTTAACTGATACTAAACATGCTTATCTAAACACAACTGTTTGTTTAGAAGCAGAATGAGAGATGCAGGGCAGGCATTTTATTGGATTTGTTCTGAAGATTTACTTCTGGGTGTAGACACTTTGCATTTTTTCCTGAGGGAGGGGCAAAGTTCTGCCTACTAGCATGCCTTCTACTGTGATTCATTCAGTGCCTTTAAGTTGCCAGGATAAACTATTGATTCAACATGGTAATGCTGCCTAATTCCAAACATGTGCATATCAACAGCACCAAGGTATGCAATCCCACAAAAACGGATGATTTTGAAAGACCAAGTGGTGTAATGTGTAATGAGGTAACCCTGCCATGCTATCAGATAGTGCACTGACACATCATATTGATACATATTATCATAGCTTTTAGATTCCTCTGTTTCAATCCATGACATGGTGTCTCGAGGAAGCACAGAAGTTCATGGCATTTCATTAAATCTTACAGCTACCCCTGCAGTTTACCTGGCAATTCCTGAAAGTAAGGAGGAAGGCACTGAAATAAAAGCGCTGATGCATCTTTAATGTTCAAAATTAGTATGACGCACCTTGGATCATAAAAAGTTCATCACCAACTGACAAAGCAGAAGGTTTTTCAGAGTATAGGAGTGTTACAGACTCACCCCACTCCTCATTCTTATGTATGTCACAGCTTTGCCTTCATTTTGTGATGTATCAGGCACTTGGCAATAGTGGCCCAGAGCAGCACTGCCACAGCTAAGGATATGCCAGTATAATACAGGCTTTAGTAGCAGCTCAAATATAAACTGCTCATCATGCCTGCCTCTCATAGAGTGTTATACAGCATAACTAGCATTATGAACACAAACACAAACCCCACACCTCTCATTTTACTCCAGGAAGAGGTAAACTTCACTTTCAGAAAAACAGTGTTCATAGTCTAGTCCTGGCAAAAGCAACAGCAACCCTGAATTCTTACCCACACAACTGCACCTTGGAGAAGCTGCTGTTTCTTTCCCTTGCCTCCTCCATGCAACACTACCAACCAGTACCAGGACAGAGGTTTCTAAGAGCCTGCAGTGAGGATCCCCGGCTGGCTTTGCAGCAAACTCTGCTGCCACAGGAGGAGGAAGAGTCCAGACTTTCTGTCCCTAGCACCTCATCCCTACTGTTCTGGGGGCAGACTATGCTGTCTCCTTACACCTCTCAGACTCCCTGTCTCATTCTCCTAACATAAACACATGACTTCCCTTTCCAGGGCAGGCCTTGGGCCAAAATATCAGTGCTAGTGGTGGCTTGCGTCGTGGAAAGTAGCCGTGCTACCCTTGCAGGCAGGGCTCAGTTTCCCCACTGGCAAAGAAAATTGGTTCAAAACCCACACGACAGTCACTTGGATTGTGAAACCAAGCACCGGGATGTGAGGGAACGTGGGGGGGCAGACACCCTGCAACCTTTGTTCTGCCTCCCTGTGCATGAACAGCAATGGCACCCTGTGGGGATCCCTGTCCCACAACTTTTGCCTCAGTCACCAGAGGGGCAATCATAAAGTGATTCCTCATTCCGAAACTAACTTAATGACTCTTTTAGGGGCATGCGTGGGGAGAGAGTATAACTGCTTGATGTAACTGCATTTTTGCCTGCCATCAATCCTTTCTACCTGGTCATTTCCTTATCCACCTCTGGATGATTTACTATCTGGAGCTCACACAGCTTTGAGCAGGAAGTGCTCAGGCTCCCACTACGCTTTAGTCACATAAAGTAAGAGACCTCAAAATATGAATCAAAATTAAGAGATGCATGATCCTAAATCAACATTTCACAATTAACTGTAAAGAAACTTGGTATAAATGTGGATACTGAGTAACTATAAATTGAGGAAATTAAAAAAATGTATGAAATTTCAACCACTTTTAAGAAGGAGTCACCTTTAAGTTCTCCTTAACTTAATCCATATAATCACCTTCTTCAGATAGTTTTCTACACATTACAGGTTCCAAATTTAACTACAAAGACTTTCAAAGTACTACATAACATTCAGGATTTAGATTTCCTCTACTAAATTTCAGTGAAATATGTATAGTAGAAGAAAAAATGTAGGAGAAAGATGCCAAATAAATTCCTTGAGGAGCTGGTAATTATATGAACCATTTTTCTTATCGGTAGGATGACTTTTGATGATCACATTTCCACTGGTAATATCCTGGTGTCACAATTAATACTGGTTTATCTTTTATCAATCCACTGATTAGATTTGTGTTCTTAAAAAGCTGTTTTAATCAGGAACTTTAGTCATTCAAGGCTTTTTTCCTCCCTCCAATTAACTAAGATTAAGCACTGTAAAGAAGTCCAAACAGTAATTTCTAAGAAAACTATTAATAGTTTAAACCACTGAACACTAAAACTACATATTAGCAGTTATACTGTTTATGCAATTAGTACTTGGAGAAGTATTTTTAAGTTTAACTTAAGTTCCCCTTTATTTGTGCACTTTCCTCTATGCCGATTTTAGTTAGCGAAGCAATCGCTAACTGCACACCCTGTTTGTAGTCTCAGCTCTATATTTTCCTTCCCCGAGCTTCAAGATCAGAATTTCAGCTCAACTTCCCTACTCTGTGTTGAGGTGGGGGACATTCACTTGAATAGAGGATGTTATTATTTTTTCAGTTTGCAAGTCAAAACAATTACCAGGTTTTTGCACTGAACCTAGGTTTCAGAGCTCAAACTCTTTCCCCCAAAAAAAGTCTTCAATTCCATCTATAAAAAAATCAGATGAACTTCAGTAGGATGTGAAAGAACACATGGGTCACTTTTAAAAGCACATGTGCCAAGAGCATGCAACTCTTGAGTTAGGGTAAGGAAAAATAAAAGTGAAACTAGTTTTGTTTACTTGGATTAAAATCCTGAGTCCTTCTTCACAAGAAGGATAAGAAAGCAAGATTTTCTTGGAAAATTCAGAGGCAGAAGGGCTGCATTCAGACCAGAACCTTTCACTCATCCACTGAGCTAAAGGACAAGCCAGCAGACATCTCTCTCTTTTAAATCTTCAAGTGAGATTTGCAGTGCTGTTGCACAGAGTGGGAACTCTGATATGGAAAACGGGGCCAAGGAAGACAGGATCAGAGGAATGGCTACCTCTGCCTCCCCGTCCTGTCCGTCCCAGCTCCCCTTTGCCACTCCAAGCTCTCCCGAGGAAAGCACCCTGACAATAAAATGCCTGTACTTGTGAGAGTTACGGACACCCCTTAGAAAAGATACAGAAAATTTTAAACATACACACCTTTCTAGATTACCGTCTGAAAAAGGTACCCCAGGTTTTCTTACAGGAATTGTAGTTTACTGATCCAAGATTGTTCTAACAACACTTTTGCTTTTTGTTACACTGACATCACTATTTTGAAGTTATTATGGAAACGAGGTATCTGGGTAAAAAGACTCCAGTTGTTAAGGTGAATCATTTCTTTAAGCAATGGCTGGACACAGCGAGTGAAACCAAGGCAGCAGGTAACTGCCAAGAGGGAACGGCGTGCAAACAACTAGCTGAGGAGGAAACTACTTGTCCTTGGGAAAAAAATTCACAAGTTAGGGCTCAAAGAAAACTTTTCACATCTGTCAAATCTGCCTTGGTCCCACTTGGTAAGTGACATTTCCTGGGTTGGATCTTCATTGCCTTCCTCTGGCATTTCCAAATTCAACGGTTTTTTTTCACTAGCAGCAAAGAGCAGAGTGCAACAAAACACTGGGTCACATTTTCATCATGCTGTTTCTCTGTGGTTCAAAAAAAGATTTGGAAAGTGTTACACACCCTAGGCAAAATACCCAAATTTCCTCTGCCAAGAAACGCTAATGCTAGAAAAATGTTCAGATGACTTCAAACCATATGCGCATCTGCCCTTTTTGTCACCAGGGTCCTCTCGTTTGTTTGCGGGTTTCATTGCTGCCTTTTGAGAATAAGGAAGGGAATCCCAACAGAAGAACCAGGAATGAATAAAAAGTACACAAAACACTACCCAAGGATGCGACGTGTGACAAGATGAACAAATAAGCTCCTATTATGCGGTGTACTTATTCTGTCTCCTTCCCAGTACTTCAAGTATTGTCTATGCCAATATCCTCATCTGCCTGAACTCCTTACTGAAACACTAGGCCCTCTCAATATTACTTTTTTTATGGTTCCTCTGGTTAAAACTAGCTACAGGGCCACAAAGGCTTACTTGCTGAAAAGGAGAGAAAGTTAAAGGCATGGACTTCAATGCAGCTGTATGGTCAGCTCTGATGATAACCTACACATCTGCCTGAATTCATAGTTTGCTCTTAGTTTATAAACTCAGAAACATTTTATTCTTCAAGAGTAATGCAAGCAGATCGTTGTTTTTTTCTGACAAACTCAAAGTTTCCCCTAAGTCAGCATTGAACACACTGTTGATCCAAATCAGAAAAGTGCAAAAATTTAACTTCTTAAACCAACGACTAATCTGAAGTCTTAGAAAAAACTACAAGTGTCACTCACTTGTCAGCTTAAAGGCTGTCATCGAGTGTCAGCCGGTATCAAATACTAAGCTTCTGGAGCACAGGTACGTTCCGCTCCCGGAGCAGCCGGGACAGGGAAGCCGAAGCGGCGGTCCCGGCCGCCCCGGTGCGGTGGGGGCACAGCGGGAGGCGGCAGCAGGAGCGCCCGGGCCGGGGGAGGCTGCTCGCCGCTACCCGCCTTCCAAGCACCTACCTGGGCTGAGGGAGGGAGCGCCCGCGCGGCTCTGAGCCGAGGTCTCAGGAGACACTGTCAGAGAGCCAAAGAGAGCAAGAAGAAGAGCAGGGACCCCCGGACCACGGAACCCCCACACCGCCTCCCGAGGCCACAAGTCAGGCCGGCGTGCAGCCAGGCGCCCGTCCCGGGCCCGGCCCTCCGCCCCGCCCCGCGTCCGGGGCGGCCGCGGCCCGGGGCAGGCCTGGCGCCGGCAGCGAGGGCGGGGTGCGGCGGGGGCGGGGAGGGCGCCCCGCCAGTCGCAGCCCCTTCGGGACCGCTGCCCTCGGGCAGCTCGGCGGGTCCTGCTCGGCCAGCGAAGGGGAGCAGGGGAGGAGTCCGGCGGCAGCGCCCGTGCCGGGGCCGCCGCGGTGCCTCAGCCCCTGCCCCGCTTCGGGGGATGGGGCACCCCCACGCTACAGCCAAGGTCGCGGGTGCCCTGCCCCGTTCTCTCCTTGCCCCCGTCCGGCCGCTCCCGGCTGGGCCGCGCGTTCTCGGCCCCAGGGCCCCGAACTGCCGCCTGCCCGTGGGGGGTGGGGGGAGGCGCGGCAAACTTTCCCCTCTCCGCGGCGGGGGCTGCCGCCCCCCGGCCCGGAGCCGCCCCGCCCCGCGGCGCCGGCTGCGGTGCTCACCTGAGGCCGGGGCGCACCGCGGCTGGAAGCGGCGGCGCAGCTGGTGCAGGATGACGCGGAGGCCGATGCAGTACACCCGGAGCAAGGGCACCAGCGCAGACAATAGCGACATGGCCGCCTCCCGCCCCGCGGCGGCAGCGGGCTCGGGGCGCGGCGGGGAAGGCACCGGGCGAGCAGGCGGCCGGCGCAGTGTTTCCGCCGGGCCGGGCCGGGCCGGGGGGCGCGGCGCGGCCCCCACCCACCCACGGAAGGGAAAGCGCCGCCGCTGTCACAGCAGCGCCCGGGCTCGCCGCGGCTCCCGCCCTTCTGGGCATGTGCGGTGGCGGGGGAAGGGAAGGGAAGGGGCGGCGGCGGGCGGACCGGCCTCGGCGGCGGCGGCAACAGCGACAACGCGGCGGCTCAGCCCCCGCCGGGACGCCCGAGCAGCTGGGCAGGGGGAGACGGAGACGCTGCAGCGAGGGGGGAGGCGGTAGCGGCGTGACAGCCGGCCCGGTGAGGCCGCCGGGGTTGGGGCGCAGGGACTCTCGCTGCCACATCTGTGACAGCTACAAGCCAGTCAGTGCCTAGGCGGAGCGAGGCACACGGCTTCAGGATCCCGTGGCTCAAAGCGCTCCTCGGGTTGTCTCAGCATTTCCCTTCAGTCTGGCACACATGAGGGGCCGCTGCGGACTCCCACGGCGTCGCTGGGTCTGGGTACGGCCCCTCTCACCTCGGGCATCCCTCAAGCTCACTCCTCCCGAGGTCTCAGTTGCAGGTACCGATTTCTCCAAATGTAGCTCAGTGTACGGAGCTTTCCTACCTCAGGAGCCGGGATTTTACACCTGTCTGACGGATACCTTCTTTACAGTGATAAATGGTATATCGCATGCATGGTATATCGTGTTGTCACTTTTCAATGCTCAGCCTTAGTCTGAGTACTCGGGACAGAGAAGCGGGTCCTATCTACCAGTTCTTGGCTGGTTTCGGCTGCAGGAAATAGAGCGCCTAGTCCTGATGCCGTGGTTTTCATTCACAGAACCGGGGGGTTTGCAGAAATGCAGATGAGCCTCAATATCGATACAAACTAAAATAGTCATTGCACAATAGGAAACGTTGGCCCATATATTCAGTTTCAAATCTTTAGGTAACTTTTTGTCTCTGAGAAAGATGGGAAGCCATACAAAGTTCTGGAAGTGTATTTGAAATGCAATCTCCTAGCCTTTAAAAAAACCCACTCCATACCTTCTAAAAAATAATACAATTAACAACATACTTTTTCAGTATCAGATTACATTGCTCAAGCAGAACTGACTTCATGTCTTCTGTCAGAAATACACCTAAAGTAAAAGCACAGTGTGTAGTTGCTCCAGGACAAAACCAACCATTTAATTTTATGGATCTCTGGTGATTTTTTTTTATTAACACAGAGAATTAGGCAAACATAAATTATAGACATCATTAAGTCACATCAATGAGGGATTCATTCTTAATGTATATTTTTTTTTTTGCAACCATGCATGGAATACTAGAAAGAGCAACACATAAAACAACATGAAAGAAGAAACACATTTACTAAAGGTGAATTATTCTTTCAACTTATCTCAGTAAAAATCAAATCCTGACTCTTTTATGTTGCTTTATATCCTTTTCTCAGAACTACACCATTAATGAAAGCCCTTTCAACATTAAACTGTGAAACTTGCCTACAGTGTATTTACACAATCTGTATATAAATAAACCATACTTTCTCAGGTTTTCTACTATAATAAAATCAATTGATGCATATTCAAGCTACTGCAATAAATACTCCTCTGTCTTTTTTCAGACAATGCTATCCAAGGAATTAGACTAAGTGAGGGAAAACTGATGGGTTAACATTACAGTCTTATTGGACCCACCACTTTTTCTCAGCATGTTGCAAAGGATTTTAAGCCCTCTGTGGTTCATGAGTAGAGTGTCACAGAAAAGATGAGAAAATTTTTTTCCAACAATGTATTATTTTTTTTCTAAAGCTAATAGGCCATGCAGGAGGAGTGAAAATAATTACAACAGGCTGTAGTCTTTGATTCTTTTCAAATAGTCTTCTAATACATCCTTATTTTAATCAATACTTTCTTTTCTTTGGTTTTCATCAGTTTGCATCTTATTATTGACACTTTGGTTTTCCTTGCAATCATTTACTCCAAACCCCCAAGTATTCAGGCTGGAATCTCATCCATCTACTTTAGATACCTCACTGAGACATTATTAGCTCAATGAAATTTTAGGTGTCTTAGCCCTGGAAGGGACAAAAGGAGCAATCTAATTCCTCAGCTTTGCTGTATGGGCAGAGGACACAAAGAGAGGCACTTCTGAAGACCTGCAGAAAATGACAGCTTTCTTTGAGGCACTTAGAGTGCCTCCTTCTTCCCACTGGCTGCAACTGAACTCACAGTGCCAGTGGGCAAAGCCAGCCTACAGCTAGAGCACTGATCTCCTCTTGGAAACTCATCTGAAACACTCCTAACACTCCATCGACACAGGATCCAGCCTCTCTATCCCTACTGCAGGACTGACGTTAGTGAGATCACAGTGCTTCCACCCACATTTTGCATAAAGATGCAAAAACTTGTAAGAAAGGAAGTGGGTGATGTTTTTAGACTCTAATTAAGCCCTGAGCTCCAATTTCCCAGCAGAATGGCATAACCAGCAACCATCAGGTAGTGTGGATGGTAAGTGTTGCAGCCCCATGAGGCACAGGGCCACCTCAGAGAAGACAAAAGCAAACCCAAGATTGGCCTAGCAGTCCAGATGCTCTCTGGCACAGGGTGGAGAGTTAAAAGGTTATGCTTTGTTTTTCTTGTCTTCTGTATGGGAACATCTTTTCCACATGTAAGTTTGCTCCCCTTGTTCTTTTCTTCTCTTGAGATGAGAACTGGAGCCAACAACTCCTCGTATCCACGCACAGTAGCAGAGATTGATGCTTCCCACCCAAGTGTGGTGTGTGGTGCAATAGTTGGGGCAGTCTTGTAGAATGTCAGTGACACATCAGTCCCTCACTAATGGTAAAATGCACACTGGCACTCCTGTGCTTAGCTCAAGTCATGCTCTCAGCCTTATGCACCTACGTGGAAACTGATGGCCCATGTCGGAAAAAGTCAGACATAATTCTGACTGCTGCTAATTTTTCAGGCTTCTAAAAGGGATTTAAATGCCTGTCTTCCTAAGCTGGATTGTACTGGGACTTGAGGCAAGAGATAAGTGCCTATCTTCCCAGAACAGGATCTCCTTAACATGTGTGGGTGAATATAGTTAAATGCCTGAGGAGCTTTCAGGTTCAGTAGGGAGTTGCTCACAGTAATAGGCAGTGCTGGGAAACAGTCAGTTGGGATTACATCTGGAATTCATGGTAGGGGTTTTTGCACCTACAGACAATTTTGACAGGCTGCCTTTTTGGTTTTGTTTTGGTTTGGGTTTTTTTGACCTATGCCTTTTTTTTTCCTTCCTCTATATAAGAAGAGTAATTTTAGGTTCCCTCAAACTAGACATCATCTTGCATAATATTGGGCACTTGAGCATAGCAGGCCTGTACGGAGCTGTAAGCTCTTAGGCAGCCTTCGTAGTAGCTGGGGGAGGGTCAGTTGCTTAGAAAGAAACTTTCCCAAAGGGAGAGATGTCTGCAAACTACACAGTCCCAGGGACTGAGAGCAGGCTCCTCTGCTGTGAGCAGTCATCTGATGGGACATGCCTGCTGTTCTCCAGTGACACTAGGGAAGATACACAGTAGATTGTTCTAAGATCAAACTTACACGTAACAGAACCATGCTACAGCATTTCCCCGTCAAAGAATTATCACTGAATGGGGATGGCTTTTGGTCCCTCTCAGCCTTTTTCAGATATTTCAGTTTTCAAGAAAATGGTCTCATTGGGAAAAGAATTGCCTTTGTCAGTATGGCTATAAGGATGTGACACCCAAGAACACAATAAAGAAATCTGAGGGTTTTTCAGCCTAGCACTGAAGTTCATGGGAATGAGGCAACAGTATTCAAATCCACATTCCCTGAAAAATCTATGTTTTTTAGACTAGAGAAGAACAGGACGAAATATGGACTAATAAGTGCAGTGCAGTCTTGGAATAGGGACAACTTCCCCTCTTCCACAAAATTCTCAAACCTCAAACCACTCAGCTATTATGCAAGGAGCATAGTGTGCTTATTGTTCCTACTGAGTTGTTTTTTTTTTTAATCAATCATATCTGCAGCAAATGTTGTATTTGTGCATGTAAGTATTCAGTGTATGTCACACTCTCAGGATCTATCTGCTCTGAAAAGCCTGAAGTATGAGTAGCTTGGTCTGGTTTGCATTCCCCTTCCCTCTTATGCTTTCTCCATATCAGGTAAGTTCTAAGCATCCCTCCTGCCTCTCAGTCAAGACTTAGAGGCCAAAGAGTTAAAAGGTATGCAGAAAAAAAAGTAATTACAAAAATAAAAATATTTTTTTAAAATCTCCAAACGTGTTTACCCACAAAACTTGCATGGAGATATACATATAAAGCAGGTGAGCTGCTAACAAAAATACACAAGCTTTTATTAAAAACTTCTATCATAAAACACTTAAAAATACTGCATATATTGAGAATTGAGCAGGGATATTAACAGGCTTCACACTGTACATGGCAACTTAACTTGGCTAAAAGAAGAATAAATCATGGAAATTCTAGATGTAACCAGCATTATTTCAGCAGTGGAAATCAGTTCTTATGTAATTCCTGGATTTATTGGAAAATGTATGTAAGTAGATTAACTGATTGATTAACCTACATGAAGTTTCAAAAGCACTTTGACAAAATCCTGTGCACAAGGGATGATAAGCACTCAGGGGATAAGAACCAGCATATATGTGAAACAGAAGAATAGAAACAAAACCCCACAGAGAGTAAAACAAAGGAATTGATTTTTATCAGAAAATCCCAGCAAAAGAAGAACAGGGTGTCAAGGTTCCACTGAACATCCAGCTCTGGCTAATACATTCCTTAGTGCCTCAGATGGGGTAAGGGAAAAGCTGTTGCATTATAATGGCATAGTGTTTCTGTTAATCAGGACAGGAGAGGAGCAGAGGAATTTCAGACATTTAAACAAGCAGGGTGTTCTGGCAATATTCCATCACCAAGAAAATAATG